ACCACGGTGCGACAGCAAGTGACGGCTCGGTGGAACTATTCGACGGGACTCAGCTTTACGAGGCGAGTTGGCACGACTAGCGGAGTTGTCTTTTTCCGCTTGTTGTCGACCGTTGCGAGTGACTCCATTCCCAAAGTTTTTCGGATGCGTGTGCCCCGCAACTTGGTTGCGTCGACATGTACAATTTGAAGCGCCAACCTTCTGGCTACATTCAACTCATCTTTACAGCGGTATCCCGCACAATATCTCTCTACGTAAAGTTTCGCTCACAAATAACCAGCCCTGTTCTGCTCTGGTCAAACTTCAGCGTACTTCTAGATAATATGTTGTCCCGAGGTAGCACATTGCATTGAGAGAACCGAATCAATCTGACCGCTTCCAACACCCTTGCACCCGTGATACGCACTGTGTTCCCGAGGGCCCCCATGTGAAAAGTCAGGCGGGCGACATGTGGCCACAGCATTGCTCTGCTCGCGATTGAACTTTACATTCCCTGCATGGAACGAACACACAGGTATCGAAGTGGCTGAAAGATAATGCAGAGTCTAAGCACGCCGCGGTGTATGCCGTCGTCGGCAAAGACGAGACGGTGAACTTCGTAGGCTTCAGCCGGAACGTGGCGCTGTCGTTGGCTGCTCACCTAGCGGCCGAGGGCGAAAGCATGGTGCACATGCTCAAGGTGAGGAGCAAGCGCAGTGTGTGCATGCGGGGGCAGCAGCGCACTCAATTTGAATTTTCAAAACTCGATACTTTTACACTTGCCCGCCCGGTTCGATTTCGACCCCAACGTTTGTGGATGATAGGTGAAAGTAAATGCGGCATGCATGAGCCACTCCAACTATATGTAAAGATTGAAATGTAGTTGGTATCCCTTTTAAACGATCACTTGTGTCATGTTTTGTGTCGGAAGCCAAGTTTTCAGATGGTTTGCGCCTGTCGCTCGAATGCGACTGATGTCAGACTGGTTTGGGACCCACCCGCTCTGTCCGCCTTGTGCCTTTGACCTGGCTTCGTGTCCAGGTGAGAAGTTTCAAGTTCCCAAAACGCGACAAGATGGAGGCCCTCAAAGCGCAATGGATCGAGGAGTGCGGTTCGACGCCTGTGGGCAACATCAAGGGTAGCGAGTGGGCAACTGGCTCCAAAGATGTACAAGTGAGCATGGGGCGGCCGATTGGGTGGTTACCACGCGGGGAGTTTTTACCTTTTTGTTGACCATATGTTGTGCTTCTGTTGAAGGCACTGGAGCCACTCAAATATCACTCGGCTCGCAAAGAGCGAGCTCCATGGTCGATTGATGCCGTATCTAGGTTGGTTTTGCTGTCCGGTCGATTCTGTGTAGTTGCGGTTTTTTGAAAGTGGCGGCCAACCCGTTTCGCTCTGATTTATTCCTCCTTGGCCGTTTGTTTGACAGGGCGCGATGTCTCCGACTCAAAAGGAGGCATACGAGGAGAACAAGTTGAAAATGCGCAAAGCCATCGCGGACCCAGGGCTGGTTGACGAGACAGAGCAGGTGCAGTATCATGGAACGTGCAAGCTCTTCTGATAGGTTGCTGGGATTGGCGTGGGCAGGAGACAGCAGTCCAGTTTTTGTTTATGCAGGCCTGACTGCCGAGCATTTCTATTGTTTTATGCGAGTACGGAAGGTACAGTGCTACAGTTCGTGCTAATGATGTGGTATGTATGCGATGAACCCTTTCTCGTTGTATTGGCTGCTGTAAGCATGTACGCATGTATGCATACTGAACTCCCCGTTGCCCAGATGAGCTCCGAAGATATCGAACGCCGAAAGCGCCTGGAGTCGGCTGTTGAAGATGATGATTGGAGCAGTGTAATCGACGGTCAAACTAAGCTCACGGAAGAACCTAAGGTTGACGTGGACGCTCCGACGGCGACCATCATCAGGTGTGTGTTCAAGCCGACAACAACCTTTTGTGCTGATGGTTGCCAGAGTTTCTACTTGCTCATCGAGAAGTGAATTGGCTTACTTGAGGCCCAGATTTGGTTGCATCCCTTGGCAGCTAATGGAACGGTGCGAATGATGGTGTCTTGGCAGTGATGCACCCGCGCGCGATCAATAGCAAACGAAACTGATTTATTCCATTTCTCGGTCCTCGAAGATATCGCACCCACTCGCACCGGGGCCCAACTTCGCTGGGAAAACGGCCACGTGGTTCTCATTGAATTGACAACTGGTATGTACTCAGCCAAGCTCCCCGTATGCAGCAAAACTCTTATCTTGCCGTTGATGCCATCAAAACAAAAACTGGCCCGGGAGAGACTGCATACGTCGGAGTGATGGCACCAGGGTGCGCCAAAATGCAAGAACGAAACAATTTAACGAGCGATAGCACCAGGGAGCCATGACTCAAACAATTGCAGTATGTTGAAATGGGTCGAGCCCACGTCTGAATAGCGCGTGACAGTAGGTCCACGAGACCGTCCAACCTCACAATGCCGACCTGGCGGCGTTGTCAATTGACTCCAGTCCTTTCAGCTCGGACGGCATGCCGGTCGGAGTTGGACCAGATGGGATGGCGGCGCCACCATTGCCACCCGGGATCGCTGCTCCCGTCCCGGAAGCCCCCCCCACGCCTGCGGCCTCGGAGTGCAGCGACCTGGAGTTTACGTTGGAGAACGTCGACAAGGTATGCGTAGGGGGGTGATTCAGCAATGGGAGGTAAGCACAGCAAGGGGAAAGTAGCGGCTGCAGGGTCGCACCGGAAAGGTTGCCAGTGCCTTTGTATTGATCGCAAGTGCGCAATAAAGCAATGCCGTGAAGACCCATTGTTATTCCCCCGGAGGTGGGAACCGAACGTGTATGCCGTATCGGCCGCCAAGTGCACGTAGCCCCGGACTTGGTACCGCGCGCGCCCAGCCTAGAGTCTGGGTCATTTATTTTGGACCGCTTCGTGCCTCAGGTGCTGGACGAGGTCCGGCCGTACTTGATCGCGGATGGGGGCAACGTCAGGGTCATGGGGGTCGACATTGACAGAAGAGTGGTGAGTCCATGTGTGGGTCCTCCATGTTTGGTGATGTCACGGCGTTGACCCCCTGGCCAGCATCGGGGTCTTGCTCGTTTGGCGAAATTAAGACCCTTCTCCCAAGTCACGAGCCCCTTTCCCGGTTGTCCACCTTTGCAATAGGCCTGTCGTCTTTAACCGTGATTGCTGAAACGGTCACGGCGCCGCTCGTCTTCTTCTCTCTATACATGAAGGTGAAACTGGCTCTTCAAGGCGCGTGCGGTAGCTGTCCTTCATCTACGACAACAATGAAGATGGGCATTGAGAGGGTTCTCAATGAAAATTTCCTTAACATGGGCGGGGTAAGGGATCCGGATTGAGTACGTGTCGCCTCAGCAGTATTCTCGGAGAAGCCCACGCTGTCGTCCGTGGGAATAAAATCAAGGGGCTGCTAGCCTTCGCTCGAGACGCCAGTTTGTTCGGATCATGAGCACAAGCTTCATTGCAAACCGTGCCGTGTCTGCTCAGGTGGAGCAAGTCGATGAGGCTAGCGGAAACGCCATGGCGGAAGCGACGACTGCCGTGGTCGAAGCCATTTTGGAGCCCTTGCGGCCCGCGATGGTCGCCATGAGGGCAAAAGTCGAGGTAAGACGTGCCCTCGTTCGGGCGTACATGTAGTCAATTCAATTTCTTGAACCAATGCGTGTCACCACGGTGTGTATGGACAGCGCCAACAGAAGTGTTGAGCTTTGACCAGCCGCTTGACGAGTTTCCCTTTGCTTTTCGGTTTGCACGCGTGGAACAGGTACTGAGCGTTCTGGATGGGCACGTCAAACTCTCATACAGCGGTCACCGGAAAGTGGCTTCTGGGATCCAGATGGCTCTTCTGGACAACCCGCTTATCCAAAGCGTCGATTTTGAATACGTGGATTGACTTGTCGATAAATAAATGTAGAGTATGTAGGGCATCGAGGGGTACAAAGTACTAAGATATGTTGTTGAGCTCGTCCAGGTTTCGCGGAGAAAGGTATATCATGTTGTTGGCTGTCAGTGTCAGCGGCGATGCTGGTCGTGAATTTATTGTGCCAACAGGGATGTATGTGTGATGCCAATATTCTCCAACTCAGTGATAACTTCTCCAGACTTTTGACAAATATATACAGACTAAGCTCTCCTTTCCGGTCCTTGTTTAAGGTTTGGGCGTTCATGAAGGTTCACCCTTTCGCTCGCCAGTTCAAACAACAAGTGAACCCGCCGGTTAACGCGCACTTCCGAATTTCGAAAAGTTTACTCCATATCGCAAAACGCAGCTCTTCCGAGTGATGGACAGAAGACGCCAGTCAATGATGACGTATCGAGGAGAAAACTGCGTAACGCTTGAAAACAAAATATGTCGCTCGCAGGAGCACTGCTGTGTTTCCTGGTGCACAACATACACCCCCGGAACTCGTAGAGGTTCTGTGGTTCAATCTGAATTTGTTCACTCGAATACGAATGAGCTCGCCAGGATGGAAAAAATTGCTCACAGACTACGTGCATCATGCAAGCAGAACGAAGTGTCTTTTTGTCAGAAGGAATCGGAAAGACGCGTAGACTATGCGTTCCGTTCCAAAACTTGTTGCTACGTGCCTCTACCAATGTACGGCAGTGGTGCAAGTACCAGGTTCAAGACATCTTCGGCACCAAAGGAGCGCACGCCAGTCAGTCCTTGCCTTCTGGTGCTGTGAGCATCATGCTTGAATATCCAAACAACATACGTGCGCTAAGGTGCAGGGCAGGTACAGAATATGGTGCGGGGCGTTATTTCACGCATGAAACGAATCGAAGAAAACCTGCTTCCGTATTGTGTTCTCTTTGGTTCAAGTCACGCTTCGGAATATGAATGCGGCGTTCGTTGTGGTGGTTCGGCTACGGCTTCGGCGGTACGCATGGAAAGTGCCTTGCAGGTAGTGAATCGTGTAGCAGCCCACAGACCCACCGTCTTGATGTACCAAGCAGCAGCACCTGCTTTCAATTGGTGCTAGCATAAGCAAATCTCAAAACCTACGGCTTGCTGAAGACTACGCGGTGACGGTCTGAAACGCGCACAATAGGATGCGTGTCGCCTGGGTGCTTGCAGGGTTGGCCCCTCAGCACACCATCTTCTGGCAGGCTTTACGAAAGCACACAAGTACGCTCGGTAGCAAACCTTCCCAACAATACCATCGTGGCAGTAGTATGGAATCAAGACACCTTCTCCGCGTTCCAAACTTCTTTGGACCTCGCCGGAGGTATGGGTACAAGACTTCGTGGACTTGGATTATACGGAGTACAGAGTGTGATTGGTGCACGGACATGTAGGAAATGTGAGGTTGCACATGTGGGAGAATACATGTGTTGTCAGTGTTTGCGACTTACCGCTTCGCTGATTTATTTCGTATCGTACGTGCAGATCGAGGCTCTCAACATCTACTGATGACTCTGAGGTTGAAGACGCAGAGCTCCTGCACATGGCCAAACTTCGAGATAAGGTGCCAACCCTTGCGTTGCGTCCTCGCTACATCTGCTGTTCAAACAAATACCACAACCCGATGGGAACAATAGAATGTTCTGGGAAATCCCCTTCTTCTGCCGAGTGACTACCCCGTGATCACTCAATTCCCATGACCGTCACCTTACTGCTGTATGCCTTTGAGTCTGATACGATACTGTAGCGCCGTGGCGACTGAATATCAGAACCACAACTATTTAGGCTTGTAGACTAGACACATGCGTTGCACGAACAGCAATGGCCCTCATCAGCTGCCCCATGAATCGACAAGGCTGTGTGCGTACTCCACCAGCCCATTCTCTGTCTCTCTCCATTGACGCACACAGCAGTGTTGAAGGGCGTGGTTGCCACTTGTAGCGGTGGCACATCCTCTCTAACCCGCATGGCTGTATTACAAGCCGTTTGCTGCCCAGGTGCTCCCAATAATTCACATTTGTGAAAAAGTTTTAACCGGGAGTGTGATCCAAGCAGCCTGGGTGTAATCTCTGCCATATCCAGGAGGATCAACCCCGTTCTAAATTCATGTTCATTTCATTAGAGATGGAATCTGTGCCACGAAATACAATTCAAATGCCGCAGCTTAACCTCTCTTGCTCTGTGCGTTGAATGGTTGGATGGTTGCTTGAGGTAAGGGATGGATTTCGGAGTGTAATGGTGATACCTTCTCGGCTTTTTTTCGTACTGGTGGCTATCGAAGTCGTTTCCTGGCCTCGAGCAACAAAAGGGAGATAACAGGTGGACTTCAGAACTATCGTTGAACGTAAAGGCAACAACAGCACGAAATTTCGTCCACAGATGAACTCGCTGGGAGTCGGTCTTTCTCCATCCGAGGCATCGCATCTACTCGCGACAAATACTTCTTGTGTGGACGGTGATTTCTCCACCTCTGCCATTGGCCTACTCTCGAGAACGCTGGGTCTTTCTCCGCGGGAAATGGTGAAGGTACGCTGTCGTGCTCCTGCTCTTTCGATAGACGTATCCGCACGAACAAGTAGGGACGGGTGTACCTCACCACAGCAGTCATTTTGTACGTCGTTTGGCAGATTGGTTCTGGAGCTCCTCGTACCCCATTTATTGTGTGTTCGGCCTTATGGCGACCCACTCTCATACGCTGCATGATCGTTATTGCAGATTGTTGCGGGCAGGCCAGCGATTGCCAAATCATCAGTTGACACGCTTGAACGCCAGCTTGGGTTCTACCTCGACGTTGTCAAATTGTCCAAACAGGACCTGAAGACACTGGTGAGTGAGAATCAAAGGTGTGCACGTAGAATTTCGTGACGTGTCAGCGCCCTCGTGGCAGCGCGAATTTTCCGCCCAGGGCCTTGCTGTTGTCTACATGCGCTACCACATGACCAACCAATCCTCCATTGGGACGTGATTGCAATGCGTGAGTTGCCTCAGTGGCGCGCCCTGATCGTGCGTTTGTCATTGGCTCACAGGTGATTAAGGACCCGACCATCCTTCGTCTGAGCTTGTCCAACTTGCGCGAAAAGGTGATAATTTGTTTTGGCGTCTACTCGCGAAGTCGAGCGCCTCAGCTCAACAACAGTTTCATACAAAGATGCTGGACAATGTCGGCTATCACCCGCCAGCAATCCCTCCTGAACGACACACATAGACGCCAGGCCAGCAGGATGTCTACCTACTCATGCAGCAGCATTGTCAAAGTGCGCCTTCTGGTCGGCTGCATTCTCCTCTTCACCGTCACAGCATACTACAGCATTGGTAGCTCTTTCCCTCTCTCCCTCTCTCTCTCGCTCTCTCTCTCTCTCTCTTGATTCTACGCCAGTCTTTGTTGCAGGGTAGGGTATCCAGACTAACGGTTGTCCGTTCCGCCGATCTTTCATCCATGTACCGGCGCGCGTCAGATGCGGTTCTTCACAGAAGATCTAGGATTCCGTCGCTTGCAAGTGGCAAAAGTGATACTACAAACTCCGCACATTTTGGGTTCCAGCGTGGAAAACAAGATGCGGCCGAATGTGAGGTGGTTGTGGATCATGTTCATCCTTCCACATGGTCAATCAATCGTTGACGTTTTGTTCTTGTTCGATTGTCGCCGCCATTGCAGGTGCTGGAAACGAAGGATGCCCACAGAGAAGAATTTTGTGATGATATGTGTTCTTCGGGATTGAGGTCATTGTACCTGATTTGGACAAAATTTGATCGCAGAACTTATGCATCTGGCTGCCTCGTTGTTTTGCAGGTGGCCTACCTGGAAGGTGCGCTTGGTGTCCCGCGGCGAGACATCAGGCGATATATCGTGGCGTTGCCAAATTTGCTGTCGTATAGTGTGGAGGAGAACCTGAGACCGAAGGTGGAATGCGTTTTTGCAGTATATAAATAAACATCAGCCCAGATAGATACGCGTGAAAACCTTTGGGCGTGATCGTTCTACGACTTCAAGCAGCAGCCTTTAGAGCCAGGAGATTGAGAAAAATCGTTGGTATGTTGCGCTTTGGACGGTCGGAAATACCGCTGGTAAGGATTATCTCGCTAATGAACACTTTCGCCTGCCTAGACTATACACCTATCCTGACTGATGGTCTTTCGCGAATAATTTGTCCTAGTGCCTGTAGTAGACACCGTCGTAGTGCTCAATCCTCACAACTAAAAATTATCGCAAAAATGTTTGTCAGCCTATTGGTCGAGGTGCTACATACAGTCCCTCCAAATATGTGAGCTCTTTGTCAGACAATGGGTGACTTGGCTTCAGTTTGACAAGAGTCCCAAAAACACGTGGGGACACTTTTCAAACTGAAGCCAAGTCAGCAATTTTTTCCAGTACCAGGCGGTGGACAGTTTTACGACCTAGGGGACACGCGGCTTCGGAGATGGTGTACAGCAAGTCAGAGGCCGAGGAGAAGCATCACACAGCATACCACACAGCGTACCACCTCAGCCAAGCATGATAGGCCGAGGGTTCTCGCGAGCGTTGCACACACCGGAGCCTGGGGTGACTACGGTACGGTAAATAGGTTTGAGTGCTGTGTCCCCAAAGTGTCCCCATTTAGGCTTCCAGGGTTAAGAGTATGCCCTGGACCCTATTGACACGTTTCTCCAAAAATCGACTAAACTTGCGATGATCTCTTTGGTGTACGACGCATGCTGTGGAACAGGTTGAATGGTTAGAGGCGAGGCTTTTCCTTGGTCAAGATCAGCTGAGAAAGCTTCTTAGGCAACGCCCTCAGGTGAGGCATGACTTGGAGCAAGTCGAGTGCGAACCTGTAGGGCAGATTGGCTCTTGACCACATAACGGGTTAAGAACAAACAAAATTCTTCGGGGTAAAAAAGACAGTTTTACCAGTCTCACAGCATGTAAAATAGTCAAATGTTTTTCCTGTGCGGGTTTTCACCATTTCTTCGGAAGACACAGTAGTGCCAATCAGATCTACTTAAATGTTGTATTGAAAGACGAAACGTACTTGTGACCTCCTCGCGCAGGTTTGGTCTCTCAGCGTGGAGAACAACTTGAACCCGAAGATTCGTTGGCTCGAGGAAACATTCGGGGTCAACGATGTGGTGAGACTTGCTTGCGCAACCACAAGTTCTTCTATGGGCAGCACCGGGGGATGGATTGTTTGATGGCGTACGGCGGGGAACGTTGAATGATAGGAAACGTGCTGTCTGTATGCTCTAGACGCAATGTCATACACCAAAACCACCTGAGAGTATTTCAGTTCGTGCGCCGATGACACAGGCACTGCGAGACATGGTGTTGAAGAACCCTTCCCTGCTGCTTTACAACATCGACACGGGGATCAAGCACAAGGTGAGGCGTTCTTTCTTGAACAGTTGCGGCTCGTATGGTCGAGCAATAATAGAGTACCAGCTGCACGATCTGTGTACACGACACGGTTGAACATCGGGAGAAGCATGGCAGCCGAGTTTGGGAGTGGTTGCCTTGGCCCCGATGAACCTGGCGCAAGTCGGCAGAAGCGCACTATACTATTGAGAACGTTTGTGTGTTTCGTTTTCGAGTCATGCATCCAAGTATTTTGATTTTTTCAACCGCTTGTTCAATATGTTTTACCTGTGGGAACGACCAACAACATTGCCTCGCATGTGTTCCACTTCTCATGACTTTGTGCCCCGATGAAGTTGATGTTGCTTTTGTTTCGCCTTGCGTTGTTGCCATTCAGATGAGTTTCTTTTCTTCGGAGCTTGGCGTGGAAGAGGCTCAAGTGATGAAGATTCTTGTCAGATCGCCGATCCTCTTATCCTACAGCTTGGAGAGCATGCGGCGAAAGATTTCTTATTTTGAGGAGAGATTGCAGCTGGGTGCCAACGACGTGAGAATGGAATCACTCGCTCACCTGCCTGGTGATAGCGCACGCTTGATGCAATATGGGTTTATGAGTACCAGCAAGACACCGGGTGGAAATTGGTGATACAGCTTGTGTTGAAATTGAGGTCGTTGGTACTAACCTGTGTCGGTTTCTCACGTTCCTCTGCAGGTATCCAGCCTCATATCTCGCAGCCCACAAGTTTTGGGGTATAGCATTGACGGGATCGAGTCCAAGTTGATCTTCCTCATGCAGGTGAGGTAGTGTACCATTGTTCAATGAGTGTTCGCAGCTTGCATGCCACTGCTACCTGTGCACATACGCGGGCCTAATCACGCCAAATCAATGAAAACTACAACAGGCTTATTACGCCCGTCCTTGTCGCGCAGGCTTTAAATGCCAGCCGAGAGGAAGCAAGGTCGATCGTGCTCAAGTATCCACAAGTACTGAATCTCAGTGTCACGAACTTACGCGGCAAGGTCAACTTCTTCACGCAGGAGATTGGCGGGTCAATTGAAGAGGTTCGTGACGCCATCATTGGCAGTCCAACGCTGGTTGGATACAGCCTAACCAACCGGCTCAGTCGTCGGGTAGAAGTCTTGCAATCGCTTGGCGTTCAAATTAACTTTACGGACCACGTGTGGCTCGTATCATCAGCTTCGACCTTGCGGTTCAACAGATGGGTAGAGAAAGTACTAATGCACGATGTTGGTGCCGTGCGTAAAGGGGACGCCGAGGTCGAGCGAAGGATGAAAATTTGCCGAGCGATGTTGCGAGGTACTTAGGGTAGCGGAATGCATGTGCAACATCTTCCTTGCTTCGTTCTTCCCCCGCGTAGGCTAAAGTGGTCACGGTGCACCTAGTTTCGCACGAAAAGCACCGTGGTGATGCGCTGCCCTCTCACGCGACGATGTACGACTTGAGACGAATGATCTGGACCCTCGTTTGAGGTCTGTGATGTCGTTTGAGTTACGGCCGCGCACCTTTATTCGGGGCACCAGATGTGCTGCTTCGGTCTGTTTTGAACTCGCAAAGTCGCGACGTTCCCACGGGAGGGGCAATGCAACGGTACGTTGTGCGTCCAAGCATCGCCACAAAGCTCGTCCAACAAGTCATCTACATGCCGACACGCCCGTTTCCAATGGTTGAACAACAACATGCCAAGAGCTTAACCGAACACGGGTGTTCGGGTGAACGAGAAGCCAACGCTGTCCATGTTCAGTGCCGCATCGTTCGCTGGTATCGCTGAGCCTTCACTCGAACGTTGCGAACCTGTGCAGCGCGGGCGGAGTATAGGGTCTTTGACACGTAGACCGGCTTATATCTGTCTCGACGCGTATAGATGATTGATCAGGTGGGTTACCATCGTCGGTCCTTCAGAAACTCACCGAATAGAGGTTTCCAGCCCCTTCCGGATGCCAAGCTGCACGTCCTCTCCACGAAACTGCGCTGTTGGTCTTTGTTGAAGGGGATCATGTATCTGAGGCAGCAAATCAACGCATTGGGTGCACAAACTCGTTTCATACGCACGGAGATCGATGCCTCACGGCGTATGGTCCACAACGCTCAAACAGAAATGCCTCCATCGGATGGAGTTGTCAATGTCCACAGTTGCGAGGTATTGAGCGTTTCTATGGAATTCTTCCAGCTATGCTTACCGGCCAGTGTCCATCGTGACGACAGCTCCATCAGCGAGTGCCTCGTTAATACACGCGCTGCCAGCAGCATCTGCCGCGGTCAGACTCATATGTACTCGGTCGAAGAGGTGTTTGAAGCGGGGCTTGGATAAGTGTCGATCGAGGTCGCCCGACAGCAGGAACACCTACATCGTTGTGGAACGCTTGACAATTATAGACGACGCTTGGAGTACCGCATAGCTATATCAGTTTCATGTACCGATACTGGTATTAGCCAAGTGGCAAATGTTTCTTCACCCCAAGTCTAGGACTTGAAGGAAACCAGGTCCCGCAAGGAGGTAGTCATGCACGTGTATGTCGGCTTCTTTCGCCGCTGGAAGTGTATTATGAACGTCATTTATATTTGGCGGGATGCACGCTATTTGTCGCGCTGGAACATCGGGAAAAACGATGCGAACCCCTGCGTGTGCATGATATGCGAAGCGGTGGAGTGTGGCGAGCGGGGGGAGAGGGGGGGTGCAGATCCTCGGCGAATACTCCCCAAATACCTCCCACCTTGACGCCGTCAAAAGTCTCCACGATACACTGAGCCCTTTCGAGAGCCTGCTCCTGGCGAATTGCATCAGCACTGGCAGCGGTAGGTGCACGCGGAATCGTTGTGCGCACCCGCGTCGCCACGAAATGATTTCACCACGGATTGAAAGGATCAGTTGGAGGTACGAGGTACGAGGTACGAGGTAGGAGGTAGGAGGGCGTTTTCCCACAAGAGCAACGACGGTAAATACGCGAGCGTACGTACCCGTGTATTTGTTGATACTTCTACACATGTGGTACGAGAACTGGATATCGGTTTGCCGTGGGTAGAATCACGATCGCCTCCAGAAGTAGCTTCCCTAGAACCACAGGCACAGGGATACCCATGAACGGCCTACTTGCCGTGACACTGCTGTCAATATTAGTAAACCACTACAGCAACAAGTTGTCACGTGACCCGGCATCAGCTCAATGCATCACCTGTTCGGCTCCAATGAAAACATTTGTGAGTACCCTCCCCCTCCGCAAAAAGGGCAGTAGTTCAATTTTGGTCTTACTGCATCAAACGTGTATCAAATATGCGTACGCTCGATAATTCTGCGAATTTTGTTCTGTGATACCTGTCGTCGGTGGCGTGGCGAGACTGCTCGGATATTCCAAAAGAGTCTTGATCCTCAGCAGGGCTTGGGTCTCGCGCATGCCCCTTCAGTTTGACACTGTCACCGGATGCAGGAGATGCCTCCTCGATCTCCTCCGAAATATTCGTTTCCCCTGCCTTTACCACTTTTTGAAATTTTCGTTGTTGATGGGTGTTTTTCGAATCCATGACAGTGCTGGAATCGTCGCCAAGGCCACTGTAGATGTCGTTTTTCTGGAACAAAACCGGGCCGGCATCAGCACGATCGCCTCACAGCAGGAACAACGACAACTACAGGAAAATGTGTTTTGGCATTCTCGGTGTGATGATGTGGTTGGTGTTGTTATGAGACGAAGCCTTTCGTGGTCACAGGCTAAGAGCAATACTACAGGTAGTAGTTCCAAACGCGTTGCAAATCAATGACACATGGCATCTGAACGTTATTGGACCTAGGAAGGACGTCAGGGCGGCAATCAAATTGTACTCAGGTTTATATTTCGCCGGTCGCACTACAATGCCGATGCTCTAGGAAGAGCTATTTCGTAGCAAGCACGGAACGTCAAATCATTCCACATGCCCTGTACGCATTCAATCAGGTTCTGGGGGAATTTTTTGCCACCTTGGTCATGGCGTACTGTCCTCGCGTTTCCAATCCCCACAAGTAGGATATTGTCGAGTAGACAGCCACTTCAGCCGTGTTGTGCCTGTGTTGCTCCGTCCCTGCAGCAACGGACGAGTGAAAGGAGTGAGCCCGCCGACATCCCCGAATAGACACAAGTTCAAGATCTCTCCGTCTACGCTCGCGTTGATAAAAATAGGTCCTCGAGCAAAGTATAGCTTGGATGAAGTAGCTTTTGTACCACGCCACGGGTGCAATCCACACTGACAATACTTATGTGGCACATGTGAAATGACGATTTGTGTTCGGGACGCGCTTAAATTTGATGGAGAGTCATGCGTACCTGTGCCTTTGTTGAGGACGTTGAACAGCTCCTCAGCGAATGAGTTCGGCCGGTCGCAGTCTACTCCGAAAGTGATGAACGGACCTACGCGGATATCCAGCCAGAAGCCCCTGCGAACAGCCGTTTTGTGCGGTTCGCGACGGTTTTTTTATTAGCTCGACTCCCCGAACACCGTGTGGAGGTGGAACTTGACAGAGGCAATGGTCAGGTCACGGAATTGAGACGAATCATCAATTCGGTGCCACGCGCTTCTCTACTGACCTCATCTCCTTCTTCAGGCCTCGGTGTTCACCCTTGACCATCATCCCCTCGGCGTAACTGACCATAGTGCGATTAGGCTTGTCATAGACTTGGTCACCGAACTCGTACGCGATACCTTCCAAGCGCCAGCTCCTGAGCAAACGATCATGATTGTCAGCATGGTAGCACGATGTCAACATGTATCGTGGGAACTATCCATATAGCTCACCTCGCGAAGACCATACTCCAAAGTTCTGGTAAAGTAAGCCCTAAAATTTGTAGCCTGTCTTTTCCATCTTGGCTCACCTGTACTGGGTATGGTGGATGATACTCGCAACTTGTTTTAGCCGATTGGTGTAGTCCCAGTCGACCAAGTTCTTGCGATGGTCGTATCGCACGCCGAAGTAGTTCCTAAGGCGGGCATCGCGAAGGGCCGTCACTGCCGGAATGCGCAAAGGAGGGCGAACATATCCTTAAAGTGCTGTGTGTCCATGGCCGATGTCCGGGAGGCTGTTCACAACATCGTCAATATACGCCAGACAAGGAAGGATTGTTGGTTTACACCTTTCCAACTCTCTGCAATACATTTATTTACATATGGAAATCGAAGCATATCAGTAGAGAATGAACATGTATACGTGCCGCGTCGTCGGCAACAAACATGTGTTATCATAATCAAATGGAAACAACGTATCGTGTCTTCTGAGTCGAGAGCTACTCACCGTTGCAAGGCACATCACAGCGCCATGATTTGAAAACTTCTTCAAGCTGGTCTCTCTCTCTGTTCTTGAGTAGTGAGAGATCCAGTATGCCAGCCTCATCCTCTGTCGAGAATAGCATGCCCACTAGTTCCTTCCCTAGGCGAGAAATATAGCGGCTGGTACGATCCTGTAATGTTTGTGCCACCCATATAGACGTACCGAGAATGCATAGATTTGACTTCATGGCGCTTCAAAATAGAGTTTCACAGGAACCTAGCTGCAAGGCACAAGTGATTAGCATGTGATTAGCATATGCGTCCGCCACCAAATGGGTGGAACCATGTCGCACACGTACAGGAAGCCGTCGAAAGGAGAGGAGGGGTGGGATGTGATGAACATTGTACTTTACTGTCAGGTGCGGCCCGCAAACAAATGCTGTATGCAGAACTTGACCTCAATTCGCATCAGAAAAACAAGGGGGAATGCGAAGTGAGTTGGGAAAAGGAGTTTGGTGTGGCACGAGGAGGAACAATTAGAGTTACTCTATGTAGATGTACGGGGAAAATAGATAGAGGGAAACGGTGTTGAGAAAATCAAATGTCCAATTCGGCAGTAACAAGGAACGCATCTCACGAAACATGTGCAATATGCTCCCATCTTCTGGGGGGAAAATCTTGTTGGCGAAAAAGCTTGTGTTTTCGACCCTTGGGGCGGTACCTCGCGGATGGCTCCGATTGACCTACCCGCTCTTGAAGACCAACTGCAGCTCTCATTGAGGTCTTCGCATATCACCGACCTACTCTGACGTTCTCAAAAAGGTTGGTCCTTACGAGTAGAACAAGAGATTGTCCCATTTTGAGAAAAATATGCGCAAGATTGACATGGAACGGGCGAACACGCAATCTTGGCCTGTTTTGGTAAATTTTGAAGCAATCTCAATCTTGCTTTCTCGAAAAAATCACACTTTCGACCACGTCAAAACAAACCGACGGTCTGCCGAGACCTCGATGGCTGCTGCAGTTGTTCTCGAAGATGGACAAGGCGATTCGTAGTCATTCACGAGGTAGTTTGTAACTTGCCCAAAAGCTCGAAAAACACAAGATTTCTGGCCAACAAGATCTTTTCCCCGCTAAAGATGGTCTAAGTTAGATCAATTGGTGCATGGACCCAAAACGAGAACTTTACATTGACGCCTCTACTCTTCAGACTTGGTAGGATGCTTGACAATGGTAGAAAGTACATCGGTTTGCCGAGAACCTGGACAAGACTCTTGCTGTAATTATTAATAATTTCGAACATTCTGTGTACAACACAACCAACCGTCACACATAGTCACCTGGACTAAGCAATTCCCGAATATCTCGAGAAAGACATTGACTCTCTGCCGTATCGGCAACTCCCAATCCTGCGCAACCTGCAAAAGAAGTAGATGACGCGCCAGCACCTCGATCTGGCGTTCCCACACGTACAGCTGTTGGGAAGAGCGGTCGGTCCAGTTTAACGAAAAAAAGCGCCAAGCAGATCACACATCAAAGAACTTTGGTGTCATGCTGTAGCAATGAAGTACCGGTAGACAGGATACTGGAGCAACAGCTAGATGGCTCGCTGGATCTTCAACTAGCACACCTCGTGGAGGAATACTTACGTGGATCGTGTGCTGAGGGTGTCGCCTTCGCGTGCCGATTGTTCTCAGAACATGCCCTATGTCGCCAGGCTGGCAGATCAAAACGTTAGCCTGGAGGCAAGACGTCAAAGCGCGAGAGGGCAGTAACACGTGCATTACCGGGTTACCGCAAAGAATCACCACGTGGTAAGGAAAGTCCTTCCTTTGTATAGACTGAGCAAAATACAAATTCCTTTGGGCTGCGCGCAGTATCTTTCTAAGATAGGCTCTCTACCTGTCCTTTCGGCGGGGAGTCTCGCAGGAGATCTTGGGCAGGTGTATAACCCCACATGGCGTGGGGTCCGATACCCTCCCTTTCTTGGGACATGTCTCAGGTGGAGATACAATGGTTACGTGGGTCGAATGAAGAAAGCCAGCCAAACACAAAGCAGTAGTCTAAGCCCTCGCCCCCGCTTTGTGGTATCTTTCACTCTTCGTCCGTTTTCTGCTGACGCGAGACTGTCAAATGGGCGATAACGCCTCGGGACATCCTCAGAGGTTGGGGGACAAACCACCGATACTCTTTTTGAAAGTAAACATAACCTCGCAGAAAGACTACCCGTACGAGATACACTTTTGTTTCTTCACTTCCAAATCCATCAGTGCTTACATGCATGCATGGCTTTTATTAGGAAATCAAGCCCAGTATCCAGCCGTTTTCGTCATCCCACCACTCACTCTAAAGACTTCAACACATCCCCTTCGACTATGGTACTATCTCGAACGGGCGGTCTTTCTGTGATGTTATTATGTACAATTTTTTTTTGTGCCGGATGCTTCTCCACTCGTAGTCACACAAAAGGAAGGGCTCCTCTCCCTGAGGTCCCCTTCCCACCCTCCTGTGGGGCTTTGCCTTCGATATTTAATGCGAGCAGAATGCAGCACTCCCTTTCCCCTGTGTACACACGAACTGCAAATGCGTACAGTATGTAGCGCTTTCAACCAGGCCAGGAACGGAAGAAGATAATGTCAACAGCAGTGTTGTTCTGCTGCGTGCTACTGCTGTAGAGAAACGAAAAAAGAAATAGAGTCGAACTGCTCGACATATACAGCGGTAGATGGGATTGGAACCCCCTCGCCACGATGAACACACTACAGTAGAGGGTTTTCGAGGATACCAACTAGACTACTACCGGGGTGACCGGTAGACACTACCATAAACAAATTGCCACGTCGAAGCAGTAGATATAAATAGTAGCTGGCGAGATGTCACTCGACCTTACTGGAAACGGACTGGAAATATTTCGTCACATCATCTCTCTCGGTACAACTCACAGCAGTTTCTAGAAGGGTATGCATCGCCATATTTTGTAGCAACAACAGTGCAGCATAATGTAGAGCTTAAGGGAATTGGAAAAACGTACGGAGTGTGTGTGTTTACAGGCCTCTCGGCGTAGACTACGGATTACACCTGGCGTATCAGCCGGGAGTACTCTTTATTTCATTTTACCATGTATTTAGCCCCACTTTCCCCCTGTGGTGCTTGCCTTCGTCTTGCCTTCGTTTTATCGCGAGAAGGGTTCAGCGATCCCTTTCCCTCGTCGACTGTAATGCCGAAGGTTCTTTACTCACGATCTATGTAGATCGCTTTCTAACCAGGAGTAGTTTTTGAAAAAAGTTTAC